ATCTGTGCGTGCTACTTGAGGATGTTATTCAGCATGCGCTTTCGAGTTGGAGCCAGATTGACAAATCAATTCTAATTTCTCTTCGGCAACTGTTCAAATATCTTCTCCGGTAATAATGTTGTTAATCTATTTGCAAAAAGATTGATGCTCTCAGGGAACAACAATTCTTATTCTGTACTTTTCGTGATTTGGAAAGGGGACACGGCCTTCACTACGTTTATCCATTCAAAGTTCTTCTGCACAGTTTCCGAGTACGTATGATTAGTCGGTTGCATTACTCGTATAACCATCGTAAATGTCACTGCTGATTTGAGTTGCTATGCAGGATTCTTACTCTTAGACCACTGTAAAATCACAATAAAGTAATCTTTATAGTAAGGTAAATACATCACCTGCCGAGTACCTATCTCCTTGCAATGTCCAGTTTTAGGTAAATATGAAGTACCATCTTGGAATGAGCTAGCTAAATCTTCTACGTGCTTTAACCCGCTACGCTTAACAGAACCGGTTTTCGGTTAACGGTTGCCTATGCTCATATGTACATATTTCAACGTATGAAGCAGCAGTCTTCATTTCGCCGCTCTTTTGTTCACTAAACACTGACGTAGCTGTTGTTTTTGTCGCGTTGCTCATGGATCCACCGTTCTTAACTGTCAGTAATGCTACTAAAAGAAACGTGATCAGTAATTTGGAACTACCTACCATTTACCGAGGTGTTCCTACTACTTAAAATCACATCTTTCGAAGTGAATCGTCATATATAATCAGTGGATCGTGCACCATACATTCCTGTCAGTCTGCGTGTTTTTTTGGGGGGATCTATGACAGGTAAGTCTGTTATCCACATTTAGGACCTTTTCATCCAATCAATTGGTTTTTGGAAAAATTCGCTTCGGAAAACTTGACAACATGAGAATCTATTGTTAGCTACGTTTCCCCAGTACTTCGTACCTCTAAGACTGTTTTCCGATGATTCCAACCTAATCTGACATGTGCAGATCGGTACTGTGATTTTCATGCATCCAATTCCCTTAACCAATTTCATCATGGCAAGGAAGAACCACATTTCAGCAGGATAACATGAATTCAGTTATTTCGGGTACTCTCAATCAGCTGCATACATACAATGACAATCAAGTTTCAAGAACAACAAAGACGTAATAGGTTACTGGACTAATGAATACGCCAATTGGGCCAATCATAGAACAGTCTTTGAAGATCATAAGTAAACAACAACACCATCGCTTACTTCAGTTTGTTGAAGCCTCCACGGCATTTGATGGCTTAAACCCAATCTGTGTAAACAATTATACTTTGTGGCCAGTCTTGCCCTGTCCTGGTAGGACTGAACCCCGTTATGTGTCATGTTATTCTGCTGAAATGTAGCTCTTACTCACTGTGATTTCCATCTCTCTTATTTGTTGATCACATCCGCCCCCTGCCCGCCCAATGTCCCAAGGATACGAGTAGAGGGTGAAGGATGTACTTTGATACCTGTCTCATCCCACCTTTTATTGTCCATGTTTTATGTTTCGCTGTGCAATTCTGTATTCTGCCGGATGTAAAAACGACATATCTCCTCCGTACGTTCACATCGAACGCTCACCAATCTAAAAACTGCTGTGAATAATACATAAAGAGAGGGCCAGCCGCTGGTGCACAGATAGATTGGAAAATCAGAGCCAGAGCAGAACTCTCCGTTTA